ATGATCTGAAATTTGATGCTTAGCATATTTACTGACTGGTAAAAGAAAAGTGCAGAGATAGACGGATTCTGCCCAGAATCCCTCTAATCGTTTTTTAGCATTAAGTTCTAATTTTTTGGCATTATTTTCTCCTCCTATCCCTCTTCCCCACTCTTCCCTGATCACCTCCGTGTGAGCTTTGGCTCCAGCATCAGCACATACTAGTCTTTGGAGAGCTTGTGTTCAGCTACTGGAGTGGTTTTAACCTCATACAGCCAGAGTACTTGGGCGTTCAAGGCAACCCTTGACCAATCAACAGTCTATGAAGGAGTAAGAAAGCCTCTAGTCAAGACAACTCTGAAGCATTATTCACAGGAATAGCTTGGAAACCCGTAAGACATTGATGAAAGAAATGAAGATGATACAAATAGGTTGAAAGATTTATTGTGCTTATAGATCGGAGGAATTAATATTGTTAAAATGATTATATTACATAAGGCAATCTACAGATTCACTTCAATCTCTATCAAAATATCAGTGGCACTTTTCATAAAACTAGAACAAATTAACTCTAAAATTTGCATGGAAACCCAAAAGACCCTGCATAAATAACCAAATCAGTCTTGAGAAAAATAGAACAAAGCCATAGGTATTATGCTCCCTGATTCCAAACCATACTACAAAAAATACAGTCATCAGTATAGTATGGTACTAGTGGAAAATAGACATATAGATCAGTGGAACAGAATTGAGAGCCCAGTGATAAACCTGTGCTTATATGGTCAGTTGAACTTCAATGAAGGCGTCAAGTATACACAATGGAGAAAAGGCAGCCTCTTCAATATATTACGTTGGGAAAACTGTACAGCTACATAAAAAGAATCAAACTGGACTGCTTTCTCACACCATAAAAATAAACTCAAATGGATTAAAAACTTAACTCTAAAATCTAAAATCATGCAACTCGTAGAAGAAAACACAGGCAGCATGCTTTCCTGAAGGACTGACTCTTTAGCAATAGAAACAAAAGCAAAAATAAACAAATGAAAGTTTGTTAAACTAAAAAAACTTTTGCAGTTAAGGAAAGTATCAATAAAACAAAAAGGCACCCTATTGAATGGGAGAAGATATTTGCAAAGAGTATGTCCAATAAGGGATTAATATGCAAAATTATACAAAGAATATATGTATACACACATATATAAATGTGTATTGTGTATATATAAATATATAATGAAATATATATATATAATGCATATGTCTATATAAAGAAATACTACTCAGCCATAAAAATGAAATCTTGCCATTTGTGACAACATGGATAGATCTAGAGAGTTTTATGCTAAGTAAAATGAGTCAGACAGATAAAGATGAATACCACATGATCTCACTTATATGTGGAATCTAAAATTCAAAATAAGCAAACAAAACAAAATAAAAATAGACTCTTAGATACAGAGAACAAATGGGTGGAAGCTAGAAAGGATTCAGGGGATTAAGAGGTACAAACTTCCAGTTACATAATAAATAAGCACATTGGTACATACTTTCTTTGATAAAATAATATTTCTTATGATTTACATAGTTTTTCTGTTTCACATAGTTTTTCTTCAGAATTTTGAAGCTGCAACTTAGCTCATTCACTTTTTTTTTTCCATTTATTTTTATTAGTTGGAGGCTAATTACTTTACAACATTGCAGTGGTTTTTGTCATACATTGAAATCAATTAGTCATGGATTTACATGTATTCCCCATCCCGGTCCCCCCTCCCACCTCCCTCTCCACCCGATCCCTCTGGGTCTTCCCAGTGCACCAGACCCGAGCACTTGTCTCATGCATCCAACCTGGGCTGCTGATCTGTTTCACCCTAGATAATATACATGTTTCGATGCTGTTCTCTTGAAACATCCCACCCTCACCTTCTCCCACAGAGTCCACAAGTCTGTTCTATACATCTGAGTCTCTTTTTCTGTTTTGCATATCGGGTTATTGTTACCATCTTTCTAAATTCCATATATATGTGTTAGTATACTGTAATGGTCTTTATCTTTCTGGCTTACTTCGCTCTGTATAATGGGCTCCAGTTTCATCCATCTCATTAGAACTGATTCAAATGAATTCTTTTTAATGGCTGAGTAATATTCCATGGTGTATATGTACCACAGCTTCCTCATCCATTCGTCTGCTGATGGGCATCTAGGTTGCTTCCATGTCCTGGCTATTGTAAACAGTGCTGCGATGAACATTGGGGTGCGCGTGTCTCTTTCAGATCTGGTTTCCTCGGTGTGTATGCCCAGAAGTGGGATTGCTGGGTCATATGGCAGTTCTATTTCCAGCTTTTTAAGAAATCTCCACACTGTTTTCCATAGTGGCTGTACTAATTTGCATTCCCACCAACAGTGTAAGAGGGTTCCCTTTTCGCCACACCCTCTCCAGCATTTATTGCTTGTAGACTTTTGGATAGCAGCCATCCTGACTGGCGTGTAATGGTACCTCACTGTGGTTTTGATTTGCATTTCTCTGATAATGAGTGATGTTGAGCATCTTTTCATGTGTTTTTTTGCCATCTGTATGTCTTCCTTTGAGAAATGTCTGTTTAGTTCTTTGGCCCATTTTTTGATTGGGTCATTTATTTTTCTGGAGTTGAGCTGGAGGAGTTGCTTGTATATTTTTGAGATTAATCCTTTGTCTGTTGCTTCGTTTGCTATTATTTTCTCCCAATCTGAGGGCTGTCTTTTCACCTTGCTTACAGTTTCCTTTGTTGTGCAAAAGCTTTTAAGTTTCATTAGGTCCCATTTGTTTATTTTTGCTTTTGTTGAAACAAAAGCAAAAAGAAACAAAAGCTCATTCACTTTTAAGGACATATCCCCACGTAGTCTAATTCGCAGAACTAGGCTTTACTATAAAACCAATCCACTAGTCCTTACTGTAAAACAATTTCCACCTTAAAATGGGTCTGATTTCTTCTTCCATTTGAAATAAGCACATTGCTAAGGACCTCTGTTATGACATCCTGAGATTTCATTCTGAAATACTTGAATGAGTACGGCTCTTACTATGATTTTTTTGGTTTGGTGAAACCACACTTGCTCCCCTTTGACATTTCTCTTGTAATGCTCTCTGCTTTGTTCTCAGAATTTTCACTCGGGAAAGTTGTATCCTTTGACAAGGGAAATGGAACAGGCCGGATTACTAAATGAGATTTACCATAACTCCAATCATGCTCACTCTGTCACCTATCTCGATTCAGAATATCCAAACATGAGTTCCAATACCCAAGCTCTAGCAACACACGTCCTCCATAACAGAAACATGTGCAGGATGGGAAAGATCTGGTGTAAAGAAGGCCTACAGATCCAGCATTTAAAGGGCACTTTGTTTGACAACACGTCCCCCAGCCTATGCTTCCCCCAGAAGACTTTACACCTGGGCAAACTGTCATCCAAAGGCTTAGAATGCCTGAGAAATGTGCCATTCCTTGTGTGGGTGACATGTGAGCACTTGTAAAAGGGGATACAGGAAAGGAGGTCTCCATCATTCTTCATACATAACCAGTCTCAGGGAGATAGAGCCCTTTAGTACTATTTCTTAGAAATCCACGCATTTGAAAGTCCATGTATGTCCCCCAGTGTCCTGAAGTATAAAAAGCAGTAGCCTTGCCCAAGTGCCTCCTTAATATAAAAAAGAAAGTTGAGGACCAGGGCAATCAGGTGACTTTTCATGGTCTCAAAGCTAGTTACCAACAGACACAAAACTAGCATCTGGATTGCCTTATTCTCAGTTTAGCCTTCTTTCCACTATGACTGCTATCATCATCATCATCTTACATAATACCTAACATTTATTAAACTTTTACTCTTTGCAAACTGCTGTTTGAAGTACTGTACGTTCATTTACTGCACACATTAACCTATGATGTAGGCTACTTTTACCCCAGGTGGAGAACAGAAGCTCAGAGAGGCAAAACCGTGTGCCCAGGATCAAATGACCAGTAATGGCAGATATAAGATTCAAATTCGTGTCTGACCTCTGGATTCATTCTTTCAACTACTTTTTCCCAAAGTGGCTTCTATGAAACATGAGCCCATTGAAAAATAAATGGAAAAAAAATAAAAAACATGAGCCCACTGAGATGCTCCCTGATAGAAAATTCTGTGGTCAAAGGGGCGTGACTATTAGCCCTTCTCTCAGAATTGCAAAGAAAATGAGCTCATTAAAGTCAATGAGAAATTATGCAAAATAAAAAACCAAAAACCTACTTATTAGTATTTTACAGAAACATGATTTCTCCCAAATACTTGTAATATCTAGTGACAGGACTCCCATTAAGAAGACTAATTTAGGTCAGTGGTTGGCAAACTCTAGCCTGCATCAAAGTCTTCTGGAAGGCCCTGACCCAAGCTTCTGACGTAGTAGGTCTTTGGTAGAATCCAAGAATCTGCATTTCTGATGAATTCCTAGGTGATGCTGACGTTCTTGGTCCAGGGACCACACTTTGAGAGACGCTGCACTTAATGATGGGAAAATAAAGGCTAAGAAAGAGTCCCTGGGTTGGCATAATGGAAAAATGAATAGTTACACTTTTCAAAACGTACATCAAAACCTTTCAAATGTACATTATGATGAGCAAATAGAAAGCATGTACATTAAGTAGGTGGATAAAGTGAAAATATCAGAAAAAATGGGCAGGTAAAAAGAAAAGCCCTCTCACTTTGGGAAAACACAAGTGAGCAAAGCAGTGTAAAGGCTGACTGTTCTTCACAATGGATTTTTATTTTTAATTGTCCAACGTATTACCAGGCAGGTAATTCACAGGACAAGCCTAGTTGATTATGTACCAGGCACAGTGTGTAGTCTGAGCTTCAAAGGTACCATTTCCAACCTTTCAGCAACCCAGAGGTAATTTTAATGATCTCCTTTTCAAGCTTGAGGGTGTACTTTTGTTTTAGAAACATAATTACAGAGTGTTAATCACTGTGACAAAGCCATCGGTGCTGTGGATGTTCTTTGGCAAGATGCTTCAGATGTCTGCATCTTCCACTTCCTTATCTATAAAAAGATACAGTACAGCTCAGAGATTTCTAAAGCTTTTCTGATTTTCAAATTCTAATTTCCCATAAGCCTAAGAAGAAAGCCAAAGTGAGATGTTCTGAAGAGACTCAGACGGACTTCAAGGAGCGGGGCTGACCAAGTCACCAAATCAATCAGTCAGCTAGACTTCTCCGAGAGAAATGATTAAAGACATCATCCACTTCTATAATGATAATGCTGATCGCTCAGTCCTGTCCGACTCTTTGTGACCCCCATGGGCTATAGCCCGCCAGGCTCCTCTGTCCATGGGATTCTCTAGGCAAGAGCACTGGTTGCCATGCCCTTTCTTTCTCCAGGGGATCTTCCCGACCCAGGGATCGAACCCAGGTCTCCCACACTGCAGACAGGCGCTTTACCCTCTGAGCCACCAGGGAAGATCCTGCTTCAAGATTGTTTATTTCTCCTTTGTTTTCAGCAGTTTGATTTTGATACGTCTGAGTGGGGCTTTCATTGAACTTTAAAAATCATAACATTGTCTCTTTTACCAATTTGGGAAGTTTTGGCCATTATTTTCTCAATTCTTTTTTTTTTTTTCCCCTGAATGGATCCCTTTCTACTTTCCTTCTAGAATACCAATGAAACAAATTTACTCTTTTATATTGTTCAAGTTTCCAGACTCTGTTCATTTTTAAATATCTTCTTTGGTCCCTTTCTCTTTCTCTTCACCTTCTGGGACCCCTATAATGTGAATGTTGGAGCGTTTAATGTTGTCCCGGAGGTCTCTTAGGCTGTCTTCATTTCTTTTCACTCATATTTTATATTCTGTTTTCCACCATGGATTTCCACCACCCTATCTTCCAGATCACTTTTCTGTTCTTTTACCTCAGTTATTCTGCTATCAATCCCTTCTAGTGTGGTGTTCATCTCTGTTTTTTTGTACTTTGGTTCTTCTAGGCCTTTGGTGAACATTTCTTGCATCTTCTCCATCCTTTTTCTGAGATCCTGGGTCATCTTCACTATCATTATTCTGACTTCTTTTTCTGGGAGTTTGCATACCTCCACTTCATTTAGTTGTTTTTCTGGGGATTTATCTTCTTCCTTCATCTGGGACATAATCCTATTTCATTTTGGTAAGCTTTCTGTGACTGTGATTGTGGTGTTAGTTCTGGAGGCTGCTGGGACAGGAGTTCTTGTTTCTTCTGTCTGCCCTCTGGTGGCTGAGGATAAGAGGCTCTGCAAGCTTCCTGATGGGAGGGGCTGGCTGTGGGGAAAAATGCGTCTTGCTCTCTGGGCAGGGTCAGTGCTCAGTAAAACTTTAATCCAATTGTCTGCTGATGGGTGGGGCTGCGCTTCCTCCCTGTTACTTATTTGGCCTGAGGCCAGACCTGGAGTCTACAGGCTCTACGGTAGGACTACTGGTGGCCTCCAAGAGGACTCACGCCAAGACGCATCTCCCAGGACTGTTGCTGCCAGTGCCCCGTGCCTGCGGCAGGCTAAACTACCAACCCACGCCCCTGCAGGAGAGCCTCAAGCACTCCTGTGGGGTCACTGCTCCTTTCCCTTGGGTCCTGGCGCATACATAGGTTTTTATTTTTTGTGCCCTTCAAGAGTGGAGTCTGTTTCTCCCAGTCCCGTGGAGGTCCTGTAATCAAATCACCCTGGACTTCAAAGTCAGATTCCCTAGGGATTCCCAGTCCCTCTGTCAGATGCCCAGGCTGGGGAGACCGATGTGGGACTTAGGACCTTCACAGCAGTGCAAGAACGTCCTTGGTATTATTGTTCTCCAGTTTGTAGGTCGCCAATCCAGCAGGTATAGGACATGATTTTATCATGATTGCGCCCCTCCTACCATCTTGCTGTGGTTTCTGCTTTGTCCTTGGATGTGGGATGTCTTTTTTTGGTGGGTCCAATATATTTCTGCTGATGGTTGTTCAACAACTAGTTGTGATTGTGGTGCTCTGGCAGGAGAAAATGAACACACGTCCTTCTTCTCTGGCTATGCTGTCCACCTTTGCTCATTTTAAAAAATCTCCTTTCTCTCTTCAGATCATGTAATGAATCTACCCTGAAATTCACTGACTCTTTCCCCTGTCTTCACTCTGCTACTGAGCTCATCCAGAGAATTTTTGAAATTTCAGCGATTGTAACTTTTTCTTTTAAAACTTCTTTTTGGTCCTTTTTTTGTAATCTCTGTTTATCTGTCCTGTTCAGATTTCTTATGTTTATCTCATAGAGCACATAAACAATTTGAACAGAATGCCAGATATTCTCAGCAGAGGAATAGAGATTGCAAAAGAAGGCAGCCCACTCCAGTATTCTTGCCTGGAGAATCCCCATGGACAGAGAAGCCTGGCGGCTTACAGTCCTTAGGGTCGCCAAGAATCAGACATGACTAAAGTGACTTAGCATTCACATCTCATGGAGCACAGTTTTAACAGCTGCTTTAATGCCTTCGTCTGATAATTGCAATATCTGAGTCAATTTGAAAGTTGGCATCTGTTGTCTTTTCATTTGAATACTGTTCACAGCTACTTGCTCTCTGTTATGTTAAATAATTTTGGATTGTATACAAAAAGTTTTTTTTTTTTTAGGTTTTAAGTATCTTGGTGTTTTTAAAATATATTTATTAAATTATAGTTGATTTACAATGCTGTGTTAATTTTAGGTGTACAGCACAATGATTCAGTTATACATACAAACATATATACATATATATGTGTTTATTTTCTTTTTCAGATTCTATAATAAACTTACAGGTTATTATAAAATATTGAGTAAGCTTCCCAGGTGGTGCTAGTGATAAAGAACCTGTGTGCCAGTGCAGGAGACCTAAGAGACATGGGTTCGATCCCTGGGTTGGAAAGATACCCTTGAGAACAGTATGGCATCCCACTCCAGTACTCTTGCCTGGAGAAGCCCGTGAACAGAGGCAGCTAGCAGGCTACGGTCTATAGAGTCACAAAGCATCAGACACAACTGAAGGAAAAGCACACACATGCATGTATAAACATTAAGTATAGTTCCTGGTGCTAGACAGTAGGTCCTTGCTGATTATCTATTTTATATACAGTAGTGTTAACCTCAAACTCCTAAGTTATTCCTCCCCCCTCTCCTTTTGATAACCTTAAATTTGTTTTCTATGTCTGTAGATCTATTTCTGTTTTGTAAGGAGGTTCATTTGTAATTTTTCCCACATATAAGTGATATCACAGGGTATTTGTCTTTCTCTGTTTGGATTACTTCACTTAGTATAATACTCTCTAGGTTCATCCATGTTGATACAAATGACATTATTTCATTCTTTTTTTACGCTGACTGAATTTCCATTATGGGCTTCCTAGGTGGCTCTAGTGTCAATGAAGCCACCTGCCAATGCAGGAGACAGTAAGAGATACAGGTTTGATCCCTGGGTTGGGAAGATCCCCTGGAGGAGGGCATGGCAACCCACTCCAGTATTCCTGCCTGGAGAATCCCGTGGACGGAGGGGCCTGATGGGCTAGGGTCCATGGGGTCACACAGAGTCAGACACAACTGAAGTGACTTAGCATGCATGCAATATTCCTATATTTACACTGTAACTTCTTTGGATATTATATTTTATAGATTCTGAGTCTACCATAATTCTCTATAGAATTTTAACTTTTTAAGTAGGCAAGACAATCAATATACTAGGTTCAGAATGTCAGTGTCTTACTTTCTATGGGCAGTGGTTTCAATCACAGCTTAGTGTTCAAAATCTATGCTATCCTGTTTTGGTTCTTTCCAATCCACATACCGTTTAGGGGAGATTCTGGGACTTACGGAGTTCCCATGATTAAAATTAGGGAACTCCTCCCTCCAGCTCTCTTTTCTGAGGCTACCCCCACATGCTGACCAACAGGTCCTGTCTTCTCAGTTACCACGCTCCAAAAGATAAGACTTCTCATTAATTTCAGCTGTCTAGCCTTATATTCAGCTCTAAACTAGAGTCCACCTTTAGAGCAAAACCACGAGAGAAAGGAAGAAAAAAATGGGTTTTTCTTTCATAATCTTGGACACACAGAATTTCCTAGTGTTCCTGGCCAGAAATACGAGGTTTCTATCAAGTTTCAGCCACCTGCTGCATGGCCATCTTGCAGACCCAGCTCTGTACATGGCCAAAAGAGAAAAGAGAATAGAAAATGGGAAACTCATTCCCTTTCACAATGTCTGCTTCTGCTTACTGCTCAGAGTTCTTAAGGAGTTACTTTTTGTGTTTTTTCCAGAGTTTTCAGCTGCAATTAGTGGGAAAGAGAGATGGTAAGGGTTCACTGCATCCTGAGACCAAAGTAGGTTTAGTCTTTATCGACCAGATCAGATATTTCATCATGTTTATATTTAGTTTTCCTTTTCTTACATCTTATCTTCTCTCACATGTCTATACTTTTCTCTATCTTCACTTCTTGTTTTCCACAATTTTGCTCATTTTATTATATTCCACGTATTATCTACAATTTAACTCATATCTAATATATATAGTATATATGAAGATAACATATGTATATGTATATAAAGTATACATGCATACATATATATATAGTATTCTACTATTTGTACAATGTATCCATACATTATAGATAGTACATACTTTATTGTGAAGGGACATGAGTTTCCTATTTTCTTTTTTCTCTATAGTATATGAACTATATATGGTATATATTAATATATAGAATGTATGTATACATTATATATAGTAAAATAATCTATATATAAAACATATGTATTTGCTATTTACTATATATATAAACACAATGTATATATATATATTACTATAGCTCTATACAGTCAGAAAAATAAAAGACCGGGAGCTGGCTGTGGCTCAGATCATGAACTCCTTATTGCAAAATTCAGACTTAAATTGAAGAAAGTAGGGAAAACCACTAGATCATTCAAGTATGACTTAAATCTCTTACAATTATCCAGTGCAAGTGAAAAATAGATTCAAGGGATTAGATCTAATTGATAGAGTGCCTGAAGAACTAAAATAGACAGAGGTTTGTGACATTATACAGGAGGCAGTGATCAAGACCATCCCCAAGAAAAACAAATGCAAAAAGGCAAAATGGTTGTCCGAGGAGGCCTTACAAAAAGCTATGAAAAGAAAAGAAGTGAAAGGCATAGGAGAAAAGGAAAGATATACCAACTTGAATGCAGAGTTCCAAAGAATAGCAAGGAGAGATAAGAAAGCCTTCCTTAGTGATCAATGAAAAGAAATAGAGAAAAACAATAGAATGGGAAAGACTAGAGATCTCTTCAAAAAAATCAGAGATACCAACGGAACATTTCATGAAAAATGGGCACAATAAAGTATAGAAATGGTATGGACCTAACAGAAGCAGAAGATATTAAAAAGACATGGCAAGAATACACAGAAGAACTGTACAAAAAAAGATCTTCATGACCCAGATAACCACAATGGTGCGATCACTCACCTAGAGCCAGACATCCTGAAATGTGAAGTCAAGTGGGCCTTAAGAAGCATCACTATGAACAAAACTAGTGGAGGTAATGGAATTCCAGTTGAGCTATTTCAAATCCTAAAAGATGATGCTGTGAAAGTGCTTCACTCAGTATGCCAGCAAATTTGGAAAACTCACCAGTGGCCACAGGACTGGAAAAGTTCAGTTTTCATTCCAGTCCCAAAGAAAGGCAATGCCAAAGAACGCTCAAAGTACCACACAGTTGCACTCATCTCACATGCTAGTAAAGTAATGCTCAAAATTCTCCAAGCCAGGTTTCAACAGCATGTGAAATGAACTTTCAGATGTTCAAGCTGAATTTAGAAAAGGCATAGGAAGGAGAGATCAAATTGCCAACATTTGTTGGATCATCAAAAAAACAAGAGAGTTCCAGAAAAAATCTACTTCTGCTTTATTGTCTAACTGTGTGGATCACAACAAAATGTAGACAATTCTTAAATAGATGGGAATACCAGACCATTTTATTTGCCTCACTGAGAAATCTGTATGCAGGTCAGGGAGCAATAGTTAGAACCAGACATGGAACAATGACCTGCTTCCAAATTGGGAAAGGAGTACATTACGGCTGTACACTGTCACCCTGCTTATGTAACTTATATGCAGAGTACATCATGTGAAATGCTGGACTGGATGAAGCACAGGATAGAATCAAGATTGCCAGGAGAAATATCAATAACCTCAGATATGCAGATGACACCACCCTTATGGCAGAAAGTGAAAAAGAACAAAAGAGCCTCTTGATGAAAGTGAAAGAGGAGAGTGAAGAAGTTGGCTTAAAGCTCAACATTCAGAAAACTAAGATCATGGCATCCGGTCCCATCACTTCATGGCAAATAGATGGGGAAACAATGGAAACAGTGAGAAACTTTATTTTGGAGGGCTCAAAACTCACTTCAGATGGTGACTACAGCCATGAAATTAAAAGATGCTTGCACTTTGGAAGAAAAGCTATGACCAAACTAGACAGCATATTAAAAAGCAGAGACATTACTTTGCCGACAAAGGTCCGTCTAATCAAAGCTATGGTTTTCCCAGTGGTCATGTATAGATGTTAGAGTTGAACCTTAAAAAAGGCTGAGCACCAAAAAATTGATGCTTCTGAACTGTGATGTTGAAGAAGACTCCTGAGAGTCCCTTGGACTGCAAGGAGATCCAACCAGTCCATCCTAAATGAAATCAGTCCTGAATATTCATTGGAAGGACTGATGCTGGAGCTGAAACTCCAATACTTTGGCCAGCTGATGTGAAGAACTGACTCATTGGAAAATACCGTGATGCTGGGAAAGATTGAAGGTGGGAGGAGAAGGGGACAATAGAGGATGAGATGGTTGTATGGCATCACCATCTGCATGGACATGAGTTTGAATAAGCTCCAGGAGTTGGTGATGGACAGGGAAGCCTGGTGTGCTGTAGTCTATGGGGTCGCAAAGAGTTGGACATGACTAAGCAAATGAACTGAGCTGAAAATTATATAATGTATGTGTACATTGTATATATATTGTGGCTCAACTGGTAAAGAATCTGCCTGCAATACAGGAGACCTGGGTTTGATCCCTGGGTTGGGAAGATACCCTGAAGAAGGGAAAGGCTACGCACTGCAGTATTCTGGCCTGGAGAATTCTATGGACTGTATAATCCATGGAGTCGCAGAGTTGGACACAACTGAGCAACTTTCACATAGTTTACCTACATACATATATACAATGTAAATGTTATACCTTACATATACTATACATATATTAGATATGGTATAAGTGTAGATATAGTATGTATGAGCATGCTCAGCCATGTCTGACTCTTTGTGTCCCCATGGACTGTAGCTTTCCAGGCTCCTCTGTCCATGGAATTTTTCAGGCAAAAATACTGGAGTAGATTGCCATTTCCTACTCCAGGGGATCTTCCCAACCCAGGAATTGAACCCGCAACTCTTGAGCCTCCTGAATTGGCAGGCAGATTCTTTACCGCTAGCATCACCTGGGAAGCCTCATAGTATAGTATATACTATATGTACTGTAGTGCTAAGTCATCTCAGTCATGTCTGACTCTTCGTGACCCCATGGACTGTAGCCTGATAGGCTTCTCTGTCCATGTGATTTTCCAGGCAAAGATACCAGGGTGGGTTGCCATTTTCTTCTCCAAGGGATCTTCCCTTCCCAGGGATTGAACTCTTGTCTCTGACGTTTCCTGCATTGGCAGGCAGGTTCTTTACAAGTAGCGCCACCTGGGAATCCCATATATACTATATATTATATATATATATACATTGTATATATAATATAATCCTATATATGTAAAATGAAAATATACTTCATATACATTTACATATATGTAGATTATATATAGTATATGCATTCATTATATAGTATATACTATATAACATGATATACATTGTACATATGTGTATATATATATATGAAGCATACACACTTGTATACATATGTATATAGTGTTTGGGGCTTTCCAGTGGCTCAGGTCATAAAGAATCTGCCTGCAATGTGGGAGACCTGGTTTGATCCCTGGATTGGAAAGATCTCCTGGAGGAGGGCTTGCAACCCACTCCAGTATTCTTGCCTGGAGAATCTCCATGGACAGAGGAGCCTGGCGGGCTTCAGTCCATAGGGTTGCAAAGATTCGGACACAAATGAATGACTAAGCACAGCACAGCACATATAGTATATTACATAAGTAATGTACACACACACAGTGCTTTATTATATAACTGTACAAATGTTTATCAAATCACTGTTGGGCATCTCTGTTACCACTTTGAGGCCGTTACAAATAATTCTGCTATGAACATTCTAGTACCTGACCTTTGGTAAATATATATTTTTCTGTTGGGTATAGAGATTGCAGTAAAATTGGTGGCTCATAGGATATGCCTATTTTCACCTTTAGTAGATATTCAGGAATACTTATTTTAAAATAATTTCCCCATGATTTGGTACACAGCAGAGATTGTGAACAGTCGCTCTAAAATCAGCTACGGCTGCCTCTTCTCCCTCTCTATTTTCACCTTGCTGTAGGCTCATAGCCACTTCCCCACGCACCCTAAGAAGCACATAGAGATCTCAGAACCGTGGCAGCCATGTCCTGTCTGGTCTCTGCTACACTGGGGCTCAGCCAGAAGCCTTCTTTGAAGCCAGGAAAGCGCTGGTCACCAAGGGATAAAGCGGACCCCCAGCCTTCACATTCTGGAGGCCTGTTCAGTCCCTCTCCTCTCCCATCTCCCCAAGAATGCAGAGCTTCTCCTGCTCCCCCAGGACCTGCGGTTCTCCGTCCTGTCCCTCTCATGTTTCTATGCCTTGACTCACCCCAGACATTCTTATCTAGTTCTGGTTTTGTCAACACCCGTGGCCCCCTTTTTTCACCCTTCTAGAGTTTTATCTCCTTTGTCCCCTTGTTTTGGGGACCCCATGTAGCCTAGATGATAAACCCCTCTGTTATGCCATCTCTACTCATCCCAATGAGCTCTAATCACTCATCTTCTACCAGGGAAAATCCAGACAAACAAGGGTATTTCAGGCTTGTCAACTCTTCGGCACTCAAGGTTACCTTTTTCATCTTGTCTGCCATTTGCTGGAGATGTAATTTCTTCTGAATGTGCCTCTTTCTTGTCTTTCATCATCAGTTCCCCAGATGAAAAGAGCATGTATAACCTCTGGATCAAATCAGTGGTGATACCAGAACTGTTACTATGACTGTTCCCTAATTCAAAGAAATGCTGCTGCTGGGAATTGGGTTCACCCGAAAGCTCACTGCTCTCCATCTCAATTTCATATACCTCAGGAAGAAGGCTAAGGTAACAGAGAAAAGTGATGAAACATAGGTTAACCAAGTCCCTTTCAGGATTCAATGTAGTTACAGGCAGCTAATGTGACAGGAATCAATTTTATGCATGTTATTGGAATAGTCCAAATGGAGTTTGTGTAAGAAATTTGACTGGAGGGGCAACTTTTTAATATTCCAAAGGGAAATTAAACATTTGTGCCATGGCTTAGGGCTCCAAACCATATTATTTTCACTACTGAATTTTTACTGAATACTTAGGATTGGACTTTGCAAAATCAAACTTAAAAAAGAATTCTTTCCACCGACCCCATATGGGTACTGTTTCAAAATGGTATGTTTTTGTTGCTACTTTATGAGTTTTTCATCTTTTTTCTTATTGTCTAAAACTATTATATCTAACCTTTGATATATAAATTTTCTGTTTTGACAGTACCCAGTATTTGAATGATATTATATAGTTACTAATAAGGTGTTAATAACCCTTTTCTTCCATAAAAACTACAGAAATAGAAATATGGTTCTTTCTAATGTGCATCACATTCTATGTGCTGTGATGCTGTCATAAATCAGGAACATTTAAAACACACACACATGCACACACACATGTGCACACACACACACATACCCCACAACCAAACTTGCATCCTGAAAACTAAAACGCCATTTATTTCAAATTATTTTCTTAAGAACTTTTTCTAGTGGTAATATTACCCAAACTGTGAATTTGTCAACTCACAATACAGTGTTTTCTATGCCATTATTCTCTGGACTGAGAGAGGTGATGTTAACACATTTGGGTTTCATGTCTGCAGGGGGGTATTTGTTGATGTCACCTAGAGAGAGAGTGGACAGTTAGTCTAAATTTTACCCTTCCATATTCTATCACCCAAAGTCAGTTCATTTTTTCCTGTATTTGGGGGTGTTTCCAAGAGCAAATGAATTTTATAAGAGACTCAGCAAAGTATGCACCTTCTGACTCTGCAATACCTCATTAGCAAAGTCAGCGAGATGCAGCAGTGATTCAGTCAAACATTCTCTTGCTCTCTGTGTTACAGGCTTGAGGTATGATTCAAGGATAACTCTTAACCCCGTCTATCATGTTTCTCTCCTTCTGAAAGGAGGACTTTCTGGAAGACAGCATTTACTATTGAAATTATCTGCCTTACTTATCTTGAGTTTAGAAGAAGGCATCTTTTTTTTTTTCAAATGACAAGCTTGCCACTAAATATAAATATAAATCTACAAGAGTGCCAAGATTTCTGAGGGTTCTGTGAGCCATGGGCTTTATGAGTGCCAGAAAAATCTGTATCCCTGTGATTTCCCACTGAACTTCTAGGAGCTACATACAAACGTTCAATGTGGTCTCTGCTGCACTCCTAATTCCCGGCACCGGCCAGGACTGGCTTGATGCTACAGCCCTTAAGTTTTCTACTATAACCATGCCTGGAATTATGACATGTGGACAGAGACTGGGAGGCCTCTCTCAAATGCCTACTATGCAAAGATACCCTCAAACTCCTTGCCTGGCTGTCCCCGAGCCAGCTGTCTGAGACAGAGACTCTACAAGAGATTCATGCCCATGGCTCTTAATAATTCAAGCCAGAACCAAAGTTGGCTTACAGTGACAAGGTAAAACAGAATTCCTTGGAGTAGATGGAGGGTAGTGGGAGTGGAGTATTACTTACTAGAGTGATGTCACTGTAATACTTTCATCAAGGCTTTAATAATTAAAGTACAGCTTAATGGACAAGAGCACAACTTTGGGGTCAGAATGCATAGGACTGAGTCTAGAATTTGCTAACTATTAACTGTGAGCATTTGAGCAACTGATTTAATACCTCTGAACCTCAGTTTTCTCACTTGTAAAGTGGGGATATTACTACTCTCCTTTGAGGGCCATCCTGAGGATTAAATGATCCACTCCTTAAAAAAACTTGACACATAATAAGCCCTCACAGGTTAGGATTTAAAAGATACTTATTAGTTTCTCAAGGTCACGAGGACCTGGGGTTTTCTCTGTGGTTTTCTCACTGCCTCCTGCTCACACCTAAGACTCCACCACTATTGATGAAAATGAGAATCATGTTACTGGTGGATTGTACACAGAGATATCTATTGCAAAAGCAACAGAAAAGAAAACTTTAATGACTTACGTCTGATTGAATGAACAAATGGCTTGACAAATTTGATGATATAGTTCAAATCTGGCTTGTGGGTTCGGCCAAGCTGGACTAAGTGATGATCCAGTGGGTGGCTGGCTAATTCTTCTAATTCCTTGTCATTGTGTCGAGGACCAAAAGAAAACACAAATATGGAGTAGCCCTGACACTTGGCTCTCAGAGACACATTTCTTAAGACTTCCCTGTCTAAAGGGTTGGTCTCACCAGCAGATATAACAAAGATAACTTTGTTTTTCCTCAGCTTGGGAGTTCCTGCAAAGACATTGTCAAGTGTCCACTGAAGGGCATGACCCATAAAAACATCTCCATTGAGCTGCTGAAGGGAGTCTTGGAGATGATGTTTCATTTGGTGTATACTGTTATAAGTGACCAAATCAAATTCTAGGTAGACAGGGCATTCTTCTGTGTTGGGCATATAGCCTGGAGGAGAGTAGGTCACGACTGCTACTCTGTCTCCCAAGGTGGAGGTCAGTGGATCTGGGGCCAGATGAAAATAATCAAGCACGGAGCTTATAAAAGTTTTCACGTCCTTAAACTCATCACTTCCTATTCTTTTGGAAGCATCTACGAGAAAAGTCACATCCATGTAATATTCTTGAAGAGAGGCATCTCTACTTTCATAAGTAAGACCTGGTTCTTCTTTTCTGCCAAGGTTTTCATGTCCTGCAACAGAATAACTCAAGTCACTGTTTTTAGTAGGAGGATAAACTTGGAATTCCTAGCCCAGGATGGCAGTACTTAGTATGGGGTGTTAATCACACATCATCCCCATACCCATGGCAGAGGGTACTAGTCAATATCAGTACTTGTTCTCAGATACATTCTCTAAGTTCATCTCTACACAGCGTGTGGAGAGCTGCTATCATTCAACAGATATTGTCACATGTGAAGAAACTTACCCCATCTCTGATCTTTGTCAAAGGATTGACTGATCATCCTGCTATTCTCACATAAGCAAGGTAAGAAACATACAGCTAGTTTTACTACTTCAGTTGTAACTAAAACTAATTTTTGGTTGCAAAATTTGGAGTACATATTGCATGAGATTTCATTATATATAATGACCCCAGGAGAAAAGTAAACATGTCAAAATCACATTTATTGATGACATCTTTATATACATGTTTAAAATATGTACCATAGTATGACGCAATGAGAGCAACTATAAATGCTGACTTCAGAATCGAAATTCCGTGTAAGACATGACATACTCTAACACCTTGGTGGTCAAAGTGCCAATCCACAGTTTACTGGCCCATGACAAGATAAGAAGCTTGCACCATGATGTAAGGAGGTCCACTACATCACTAAGCACACATATTATTTCATTGATTTCATTAGCAAGACTTTCTCAATGAAGGAAATAGTGCCTCAATTTACACTTTAAGGCCAACTTCTTGTCTTGTTGGAGGCTAGCACTTGAAGCAGCTCTGAAGGGTGATGAAATCATGTCCAAAATCTCGCGGGCAATGGCTGGCTGGTGAGGCCACAACAGGAAATGCCAGCTCAGAAATACAGGAAGGACATGATCAATGTTTTTGTTCTTTTTTTTGTTGTTCTATGAAAGAGATGTGTTTGTGAACCTAATCAGGCAAGAAGTAGATCCCTAACTGGCAAAAATGTATTACTGTCCAACTGTGCTTGGCCCATTATTAAGGCTTTTCGTCTATTATTTAGCTTGATCCTCACTACAACCTCACAGATGAATTGATTAACCTTTATGAATGCCACAGAAGTTTAATATTGAAATAGAATGCAGAGAAACAATATCACGAGTGATGTTATTAACAGGGCAAATATTATCAGATGACTTTTGCATGCTCAACGATTTCTGCTTTTCTGGGGCCAACTCCACATTATCTATTTTATCTATTATAGGATTTTTTCTGATTAATAAAATTTGTATATGTTTAAAATGTACAATGTTCATCAAAAAGTCTACACAAAATAAATGATGGACAGGGTGTGAAGAAAAAAGAACCCTCCTAATTGTTGGTGGGAATGTAAATTGGTATAGCCATTATGGAGAACAGTATGGAAATTCCTTAAAAAACTAAAAATAGAGTTACCATTTGATCCAGTAACCCTACTCTGGAACATATATCTGAAATAAACTATAATTTGAAAGGATACACGCACCCTACTATTCATAGCAACAGTATTTACAATAGCCAAGACGTGGAAGCAACCTAAGTGTCCATTGACAGGTGAATGGATAAAGAAGATGTGGTACATATACACAGTAGAATATTACTTAGTCATAAAAAAGAATGAAATAATTCCTTTTGCAGCTACATGGACGGATCTATATTACTTCATTTAGAGGTTATCACACTAAATGAAGTGAACCCGACATAGAAAGATAAACATCCTATGATACTGCTTATATGTGGAATCTGAAAAATGATACATATGAATTTATTTACAAACAGAAATAGATCACAGATACAGAAAAGGAAAATGGTTATCAAAGGGACAATGTGGGAGGATAAATTAAGAGCTTGGGATTCACATATACACACTACTATGTATAATATAGATAAGCAACAATGGCCTATTGTATAGCATATGTAACTATATTCAATAGTTTGTAATAATCTATCTGGAAAAGAATTTTTAAAAGAATATATACATATATTCACACACATGGATATATGTATTATAACTGAATCACTTTGCTGTACATCTGAAACCAACACAACATTGTGAATCAATTATATCTCAATAAAAAGTTTAAAAATTGAATGGAAAAAATACTAATAAAGTACACAATGTTTTGATATAAGTATACATGTATAAAAATTGCCACAATTAATCTAATATTGTTGGATTTGATTTGCCAAAGTTTTGTTTAGAATTTTTGCATCTGTGTTTACAAGGAATGTTGGTCTGTAGTTTCCTTTTCATGTAATGTCTTTGTGTGGTTTTAGCTTCAAAGAATGAGTTCAGAAGCATTCCTTCCTCTTTAATATTCTGTAAGAGTTTGTGCAGAATTGATACTATTTCTTCCTTAAATGTTTTGTTGAATTCATCAGTGAAGTCATCTTGACCTCAAGTTTTCCTTATGGAAAGTTTTGAACTACAAATTCAATTTTGTTAATCAAGGTTTAGGAATAAATATTTAGGTTACTTTTCCCTGAGTGAGCTTTGGTAATTAGTGCACTGCAAGTAATTTGCCTATTTCACCTGAACTGTCTAATTGATAGGCAAAAACTACAGTCCATGGGGTCACAAAAGAGTCGGACATGATTGAATGGCTGAGCACACACAGGAGCGTGCATGCTAAGTCGCTTCAGTTGGGTTCAACTCTTTGCGACCCTAAGGACTGTAGCTGGCCAGGCTCCTCTGTCCATGGGGTTCTCCAGGCAAGAATACTGGAGTGGGTAGCCATGCCCTCCTCCAGAGGATCTTCTTGACCCAGGGATGGAACCCATGTCTCCTATCCGCATGGGCTGGCAGGTTCTTTACCAGTAGCGCCATTTGGGAAATCCGAGTACACACACACATAAGCAAAAACTGCTGACGTGTTCCCTGACTATCCTTTTAATATCTGTAGAATATGTCTCTTCTCTCATTCCTGATGTTGGTAATTTGCATTTTCATTTTCACCGGTGAGTTTGACTATAGGTTTGCCTATTTAATTGCTCTTATAGAAAAAAAAAACACTTTGATTTTATTTCTTTTTTCTTTTTTTTTTAAATAAATAGTGAGCTTTTATTATCCTCAGCACCAGAGGGAAGTCAAGCCTGAGCTCTCGGGGCGTAAGTAGCTCCATCCTGGAGGTGGAGCCTTCAGCAGCACCTGGAGGAGCTGCTCAGACTCCCTTCATCTGGCTGCCCTGCCCGAGGCGTTTCTGAGGAGCTGGGGCCCGCAGAGGTCAGCAGGGAGGAGCACAAGGGGAAAGCTCTCCAGCCTGGAGTCAGGCGTGTCCAGAGCGAGAACCCGGCAACACACAACTCGCATCCTCCCTGGAAGGCAGGTGAGAACCCGCCCCCGGGACATCACACGTCCGCCCTCTGGGCGTCTCTCTCTCCTGTTCCTCTCTGACTCCACCTTCCTCCACGGGTCCTCATCTTTGGCCACAGTGTTTGGTTTTTGAGAAGAGAATGTTGAACAAGCCAGGCACTCGTCATTCTGAGTCCGAACTCTCATTTGACTTGGAAGAGTTGTGCTTTCATTTTTCCTTTTTTTTCCTATGCTTCTCTTTCTTCTTATTTTCTCTTTTCTATTTCATTGACTTCTGTTTAAATTTTATTACTCCTTATTTCTCCTTACATTAGGTTAAGCTTGTTCCTCTTTTTCTGGTTTCTCAAAATGAAAATTGAGGTCACTGATTTGAAATCTTTCTTCTTTACCAGTATAGGCATTTAATACTATGCAAGATCTCCAAAGTACTGCTTTAGTGGAATCTGACAGATTCTGGTATATGGTGATTTCTATTTTCATTACTTTCAAAATACTTGCTAATTTCCCCTTTGATTTCTTCTTTGACCATGGGTTATTTAGAAGGGCTTTACTTGGTTTCCAAATACATTTTCCTGTTACTGATTTAAATTTAATTCTGCTTTGGTCAGAGAATATACTTGGAATGACTTGAATCCTTTTAAATTTTGAGAATGTTTTTTTGATATACAATGTGGTCTATCTTGGTAAATGTTTCATACGTACTTGAAAGCAATGTATATTTCTGGAATTTTTTACAATTAAGTTTTATTGGAATATAGTTGCTTTATAATGTTGTGCTAGTTTCTGCTGCATAGCAAAGTGAATCAGCTATATGTATACATATATGTCTCCTCTTTTTCAGATTTCCTTTCCATGTAGGTCACCACAGAGCAGTGAGTAAAGCAACTATACTTCAACAAAAATTAATTTTTAAAAAATTCCAGAAAATTTTTATCCTGAAAAAAGAAAAGGATTGGCATTTGCTATTATTGTGTGCAGTGTTCTATTAATATAAATTAGGTCAAATTAATTGATAGTGTTCTTCAAGCCTATGATATTCCTGCTGATTTTCCGTCTATGTTTTGGCCACTTATGAGAGAGGGTATTGAAACCCACCGAGGGTCTTCTCATTTTTTTAAATCATTTTTGTCTTCGAGTTTTATTTTGAATAATTTATATTGCTACATATTTAAGGTCACTAGTTTTCTCTTCTATCAAATCTAATTTCTTATTAATCCCGTCCAGTGTATTGTTCATCCTAGACACTGTAGCTTTCATCTTTACAAATGTATTTAATTTTTTTTTTACATTTTCTATGTTTCTACTTAACTTTTTAACATATAGAATTTAGTTATAATAACTTTCAATATATTTGCTAATTTTTAACATCTTTGTTAGTTCTGATTTGGTTTTGTGCTTTTGATCATATGTTCTTTCTGCTTTTTATGCCAGACATTACGAAATTTGCTTTTTTGGATATGGGATACTTTAACGTTCCTATAAATATTCATATACTTTGTTTGGGGAAGCAGTTAAGCTACTTGGAAACAGTTTGATCCTTTTGGGCATTGGTATTATGATTTGCTAAGTATGTCCAGAGTGGTACTTAATTTAAGGCTAATTATTCCCCACTACTGAAATAAGACCTTTCTGAATTTTCTCCCTAGTGCTTTATAAATTATGAGTTTTTCCTCCCTCTCTAGTGGTAAAAGGCACTA